ACTTTTACTCGGTATTCGCAAGAGAATCTATGAAAATGAAAAAAAATAGCGCCTTATATAAAGAATTCAAATCCAACGAACATTCAATTATGAAAATAATGTCAATTTCTATGTTTTCAATTACAGAAAGAAGATTTTAGCCAAATACAAAGATAATCGGTGATTAATTTATGTCAATTGAACTCTCAGCAGAAAAACACAATCTCAAAACCAAATAGTGCGCAATTCAAATGACAATGAATTGGCTTGTTTGACATATGAAAATTTTTGTTCAATAAATCTACGTTTTTCTATAAGTTCTGATCGACCACCGAGTTTCCACAATGTTCAGTGCAATTGAAATATTTTTGTCAATAACAAATCGCAATACCTTGTCAATGTCTACGAATGTCTTAATTTCACAATGAATCACAATGGTTGCCACTTACTGCGTTTGTGCTGTGCTGTTTGAAAACATTTTTTCCATGGAACGCTATTGTTTGTCAACTTGTGTTTGTGCGAGAATGACGTTTCTCATACGAACATGTATGTGTGGCGGAGCAGTGATGGACTCAATCGCATTGAGTCAATACAAATGCAAATATGTTGCCGTTCATGTCGCTGAAAGTGTAGCTGTGGCGAATTCAATTTGAGCTGCAATGTTTTGTTTGGTTTGTTTCATGAGCCAAATTTTTTAATCCCAATTTGTGTTTTTTAGAATGTCCAATTTTGTTTTTTGTTGCTAATTTTTTTTTAATTTCATTGCTTTTGGTTAGCATTTACTAATTCGTTGATGTTATTTCACTGGAAAGACTAAAAACACTTCATCCAAAGCACAGCTTATTGTTCAGATTATTCAGTTTCATTTGCATACTTAAAAAAGTCTAAAGACTTAGGATCGAAGAAAGGATTAATATCCATTAACACATTAAAAGAGATTCTTCAATTATTCGAGTTGAACTGATCTAATTTTGGTCATTAAATGTCAGATCAAAAGTTATCAGAAAATCATCCCACTCTCAATGCAACGAAAATTTGGAAATGAACCAAATAAAGTACGGGGACTTTGTGTATATGCAATGATGCCCTTTCGATCATGTGATTGTTCTGTATTGACTTCCATATTTTGACTTCGATGTCGTTCAGTGTAGGAAAATTCTGTTTGAACGACTGAAACCATTTTGAGAACTGATTATCTTCTACTTAAATAGCGATAAAAGCGAAAATTAATCCTGACCTTTCGGCAATTTCCCGATTACCGACACTCAGACAATACCCCAAACAACCCCAAAAACGAACTGACACATAGCTCATCTTAATAAGCATGGCATCGAACATGAGCGCCACGGCGGTTATTGAGGCTGAGTGTGCGCGCCTTCGTCTCTGTTCTCATTATCCTTTTACCTACCTCTCTTAAGAGGATTCTAAAGAATTCTTGTTGCTTCTTCAAGTACATAAATAATACATAGACATTTTATATGCTCTGTTGGCGAAAGGCTATTTTTTACCCGGTTCGCAAAATTGACTATAAAAGTATGTGAAGCATCAAAATTTATTCATTCCGTTTGTGACGTTAAATCAATCGTTATTTTGTGCAAAATGGCTGTAGTTAACTTTGACGATGAAATGAATCCAGTGTTGTGTGGCTTCGAAAGTCAAGCCATGGCTTTGTTAGAAGTGATGAAAATGTCATCTAATATCAATAATGCTTCACTCGCTCCGGATTTGGATCATGGAGAATTTCTTTGTTGTGTTTCTCAGTCGGTAAGTGTAAAATGTGTCGATCATAATAAAAATGAGTTCAAAGTTAATTGCATCTTTCCCAATATAATCAATTTAAAAAACAATTTGAACTTTGTTAATTTCACCGTATTAATTATATTTTGGTTCTTCTTCTTCTTACAGATTGGCAGAAACGTATGACAAATTCGAAAGGAATCTAATGCCGGAGTTAGAAAATGTGGCGAATGACGTTTTTCTAACTGTTGATGACCAAACTAAATCTTCAACTGACGTTTATTGGGCGAGTGGTGAACATGAATGTCAAGACATGTTGGATCAATGTGTTTACCAAAGCTGCTTTTCAGTTGAAACTACGACGAATCCACTAGTCTTTGATGTGAATATTGATAACTACTGTGACGAAGGAAATATGGTATTTGTTCCAGAGCAAAATGCAGTTGAAAGTGATATAAGAACTGTGAGCATGGGGAGAGACACCATTAGCTATTTTTTTGAAGTTCATATAAATACTAGAAGAAAATGGCAAAAATAGCAAAAAATAGCAATATTATTGAAGAAATAGCGATTTGTTATTTACTGTTTTTAACCGTTTAGAACAAAGTTTTCGAGTTATTTTATGAAATTAAATGGAACAATTTGTTCTTTTCTATGAAATAACATTAGAAAAATTGCCAAAATATATTTTTTTGCTTTCTTTCGAAGCATACAACAATAACTTGATGAGTGTTACTTGTACGTGAACTGTCAAACTGTCACGTTGCACATAGGAAATATTGGCAAAAAATAGCACTTTTATTGAGGGAAACTAGCAAAAATAGCATACATTAGGAAACAATAGAATAAATTAGTGAAACTAGCGTTGGTGTCTCTCCCCTTGACTGTGAGTCATGTGTTCGATGAAGAACAGTACAATGGGAGTGACATCGATCAGGTAGCCGTTACTGACAATGTTATTGAAGAGAATGTTGCTACATCCATGCAGACAATACCACGTTCTGCAGCAACCGGTCCGTTGGAGGGAACGAATGGATTCAAGTGTGTATATTGTGAATACTCTCCTTCTTATACTCACCTTTAGACATATCCAGAAAAATGAATTCATTTTTGTTTTTAATGGAAAAACATTCCACTCAAAACACCTATCGAATTAGTCCTATTTTGATTATTGTTGGTTTATTAGTTCATTGAATTCAATTGAATTACACTGTTTTTTGGATTGAATATTAAGACATAAGACACATTTAACATATAAAAGAATGGAAAATCATTTCATTTTTGTCGGACTATATCCATGTCTCTTCTATGTTCAAGACAAACCGACCTACGATGCCGTTCTTCTCTTATTCCGTCGAAGAATCTATGAATGTGTCTAAATTGTGGAGAGATTACATATACAAATGAGATTAATGCACTTCAACTTGATCGCCTTGTTTGTCCTTTTTTCCGGCTTTTTTCTGTTGGTTTCCTTCATCTGATTTGATAATCATAATTGTACAGATATTTACACACATTAAATATGTCAGAGTTGGGGTTTGAATAAAATATTGCTTGTTTTCGTTAATAATTCAGGCTTTGGTTGTTGACTATTGCATATGTAGTTCTAATAATTATTGGTAGCAATAATCATTCTTGATATAATCCATAAAATGCCTAACATTACATTTACAAATATCGAGGACGAGAAATACTGGGTGAGCGTGATGGAATCAGGTGTTGAAATGTCCTAATATGTGAAAATTCACATTGATTCATTTGAAAATGGTTTGGTTTTTGATTCGTTGTGTGTTTGTGTGCTTGTGAAGGGGTGTGCTCGATGGTCCCTGGAATGGTATCTGATATTAATCCGATATGAATGCGGGAGATATTTTAGTTTAATAGAGATATTTTAGTTTTTAGTGTACTGAGTCTATGTCACTGACCATTAATTTCGTATACAGTCTATTTGGAGGAAACAAATTAAAATGCAACAGATTTTTTTAAGACGAAAAAAAAACTCTTTCGAAATTTTCAGAGAAGATTTGTAATTTTTTTCTATTCAAAAATTTTCAGCGACGAAATATTTTTTTAACCGGAAATAATAAACCAAACCAATGAAACAATTTTCACAAATGAAAAATGCAATATAGCGAATGGACGTTTCACGGTTTTAAATCAGAATTGAAATTTTTTTTAATGTAAAATCACAAATTTCGCATCTAAACATAGCAAAAGCACTGAAACCGAAGAATTGATTGCTTCTTAGAAAATCTAGATGCTTTTGAATTGATTCAAAAAAAAATCGATGGTTCACAATTGAAAGTCACATCTAGAGTCAAATTTTTCAACTCAAAACAATAGTTCGCGGCTAAAAAGGGTAAAATTTTAGGCCATTTTCCGAATCTCTGTCTCTTCATATGTGAAGAAAAAAAACTGCATTTCAGATTTCAATCTCCATTCAAATTTTCATTCAATTTCCGTTCGATCACCTTCAATTAGTATGAAAAAATCATGAGATTGTTCCTCCGAAAATTCACTTATCTGCGCCACTTTTGAACCAATCGATTTATGTCGAGCTCATCAGAGCTCCTTATGCGGTGCTATCGATGCTGAGAATCACCCGAATCATTCCAAATGAATTCATTAATTAATTCGAATTATTTTTCATTTGAATTTGAAGAAAAATTCCTTTTTAAACTGAAAAATCACCGACAACCGATCAATCGGATCAAAACTGCATCGAATCAACGTCGTCGAAGAACAAAAATTTTAAAACATAAGAAAAAACAAAAATGAGCCAATTATCTGTTTTAATGAATCGAATTGGTTTTATTATAACTGAAATCAATTTGGACTTGCATAAATGTGTTTTTGTTTTTTTTTTTAAATCATTTTCGATTCGAACTTATCGTTAAACTTAATTAGAATTCCAAATAAACTTAAAGAACTGTTCCATTAAATTATTAGAATGTATCGTACAAACAAACAGAAAAATAAAGCAAAGGAAAAAAAATTCAAACAAAAAGAAAAACAGAAGGAATTTTCAGTTGGAGGGGGAATAGGAATAGGGACTAAGTATGTTTCTTCCGAAGGAGAGAAGAAACAATACATGTTTATATAGACACGAAGTCGTGTGTGTGTGTGTGTGTGTGTATGCGGGAGTATGCGGATTTTGCGTTTTCTTTGCAGCGCGGTAAATTACACATAAAGTAATATATATAATAATAAATCTCTATCCTAGTATAATACAACAGGTATGTTCAAAAAAATGTTCAGTAAGTTAGATCTAATCATAAATTGTAAATTTTTTGTTGTTGTTTCTTTTTCTTTTTCTTGTTGTTGTTGTTGCATAGTAATAAAATATATGTATATAAATACTTCTTAATGGAATTGATAAGGTTCTGGTTTCATTTTCATTTTATCCTCCTTGTGTGTGTATGTGTTTATGTAAATTGTTTTTTATTTCTCTTTTCTCTTCCATTTTTTTTTACTTCTTATTTGGGTTCATTTATTGGTGTTGTCGTTCAACTGACTTAATAGCCATTGAATGGCGCGCACGCGAACAGATTCTACTTGAGAACTTCTACATAATTTTCTGGTATCAGCCCCGATTTACCGTTCAACGTACCATCCAGCCAGCCCGGTTCATTCGATTGACGAACTGTGAATTGAGAAGAATGAAACAAAATAGGTTAATGAAGAATGAATTACATTCATTGAACGCAGTGAATTGGTTTTGAAAAAGAGCGAAAAGTAAAAAAAAGAGCAAAACGTATGAAACTTTGTGGAAAACAATGATTCAAAATCGTCCGAACAAAAAAGTGAAACAATTCAAAAGCCCAAGAGCTTTGAATCCAAAAGCCTCGGAATAAAATGAAGAAAAAATCGAGCAAATCAAAATCGAATCGAGAAATTCAAAATAAAATTGAACTCATAGTTCAATCAAAGAGAGTAATTTTTGCTTCGATCACTGATTTGTCCTTGGTTTGATCGTATTTTGTTTAGACTGTTGATTTCCTTTCAACAGACCGTCGAATGGAACGTTGTTTCATTGGAATAGTTTCCATTGTCGTCAAAATAACTCACCATTTGTAATGATTTGATTTGGTTCAAACGACAGTTCTCCATCATTTTCCGCCATGCATGCATACAGTGTTCGAACGCGTCTGCAAACCGAAAAAAGAAAACATTAACAAAACTCAGCATAATTAGACATCTCTATAGGGATTATTCATTTTAATCTCATATCGATTTTGGTAATGAGCAAAAGAAAAGCCACGAACAATTCAAAAAAAAAAAAATGTAGAGAAAGCCAATTCAAAGCCCACTTACATATTATCTCTAGGTGAATTGTAGCGTTGTCGTGCAATGTCCTTGGTCCGTTGTGTTTTTTTCGGCATATAATTTTGACTAGTGTCATAATTGTTGGATTTGCTATTGTAGTCCGAGTAACTGGGTAACGTGGTTGCCGACAAGGATTGCATTTGTCCACCACCACCTCCTCCCCCTCCGCCGCCACCACTGCTTTGTAGATGTTTAAGTTGTGATGTTGGTGGCGGTTGCCTTGTGTACGAATGATTCAGCGATGATGTGGAGCAAACGGATTCGTTTGAACTGCTCGTTGAATTGATGCGATCGATGACCGATGACACTGGGTTCACCAGGTTATTTTCACTGTAATTCAATGCGTTTAATCGTTGCGATTGAAGCTGTACATACACTGAATCGGGCGTTCGGCTCACCGATGTCGAATTTTCGCGACTACTATTCAAAAGCTTATCACGGTTATTTATATGATTTGATTGTAACGGTGAAATCGACTGATCATGATGGATGCTACTGCTAAGGCTGCTGTTCCCACTACGATGAATCGGCGATTGACTCAAATGATTCGAATTTGGCGACGATGATGTCAAATAATTGATACCGTTGTCACGACCAATACTGAGCTCTCGAGTCGGAGCGATGATGTGGTTCACATCACGGGCCAACGATGGTGTTGACTGATTCAATTGGTTGATATGAGGCTTTGCCTCATAGATCGGATGATGATTTTTCACCATTTTATTGTTGGAATTTTGATAAATGCTATTCGCTCCATTCGGAATATTCTGCAGACTCGATGACATACCGGTGTCGGTGTAATTCACCCGGGTCACCACACGCATCAATGGCTGTGTATTGTTTATTGAGCTACGACTCGATCGATAGCCACCATATGTTCGTGGCACCGGTTCCGGTGGACTCGTTTGCGATAAATATTCACTCGCCTTGCCCGGCGAATTCTTAAAGATCAAATCATAATTTTCGATCAGAATTTCAATCACAACGTTATTGAATTTGATGTCGAGTATGGCAGCTAACGTTTCCTCAGCAGCACGCAACAATGTCGGACCAAACACCACTCCCAAATTGAATACGGACATTTTATTCTTATGGCATTTCATTGAAACTCTGGAAAATGGACAGATTTTGATTAGGAAAAAATGACGACTCGACCGAAAAACGAAGCAAAAAAAAATCCCCAACTTACGCTTTCAAATGGCGAATAATAATTTCGAGCATTTCGAAATTGACTTTGGGCAGTCGATAAACTAACGTATGTACATCGCTGATTCGCTGGATTCGTGTCTCTTGTTCTAAAATTACACACAAAAACAAATCGGATTAATTTCGGTTCTTACTGTCATTTCTACCATTATCTAATGAAAAAGGAGTGAAAAAAAGACATACTCGCTGCAGCTATGAATCCGTTATGGTATCGATATGTCATCAAAGGTTCATTTAAATTGCGTAGATAGTGTTTTAATGCACTGGCAATGGTTTTGGTCTCTAGTAAATCAGAATGTTGCTCATCGTGAAAGAATTGCAAGCGTTCCTTTTCAGTCTTATTGCGATCCATGCCCAGAGTCAGTAATTTTGTGATTTTCGTATTTACACCGCCGATACGATACAAGCCCTCCTCCTCCAAACCACGCACTTCCATTATTTCAATGCACTTGCGAGCGAATGCAAAACCAACATCGTCCAGCAGATATTCTTCGTTATTCTTGGATTTTCCCGGCGCCAGGTATGTCTGTAGTGGTGGTATAAGAAACAGGATTAGTAAATAGTGGAATTTTAAACGAAATAAAGACATAAATAGAGAGAATAGTTTAAAATAACGCCAACATAATGTTATAAGTTCACTCACCGGTTCCTTGCCATCCATTGCATTCAGCCAAACTTTGCGATCCTCTTCGCTCAGCGCTTGAAATGTAAATGTGACTCCGGGTTTTTGGTCAAATGTCAAATCGAAGCAAAACCGTTTCTCAAAGTCTGATGCTCGGCGTGTGCATGTTGTTAGTGTTAGGGTTTCTGGCGGCTGTTCCGTTCGTCCCGATATCTGATTGTAAGGCAACATCGAAAATAGTTTCTGTTGCTTTTTGTATGTACAATAGAATTTTGACCATGTTGCTGTGAAGGCCTCTGAAAATTGGTCACGAAGGAAAAATAAAATATTTTGATTAGAATTTAAAAAAAATTTCAACGAATTTTAATGTCAAGTTTTAATGTTTTTTTTTTTTAAATAAATTTCCCTTATCGATTGTTAATATTCAAAATTGACTCGATTTTTTTGAAATTCAAACTTGGAATAATTCAAAAACTTAAAATGACAAATAAACTTTTCACTAAAACTTTACTTCAGAATGTTTTTTTCAATCGATGCAGAAAATTAAAAAAAAAATTTATTAATTTCCTATTTTGGTTGGATATTCCGGGAAAATTTTCACGACAAATCGACTCAAGTCAATGAAAATAGTTCATTAATTCCGCAAATAAAATGAAACGAATTGAAATCATATTAAAAAAAACTAGAGCCAATTTCTAATCGACGATTCCATATGGAAAGAATTGAAATAGTTTTTCTCTCTTTTTTTTTTTCCCAAAGAAACGATCGATTTTCAATGAAACCATCATAAAAGTGAATAAATCGCGAGTCGAAATCGAATGAGGTGATTTCAAACGGTATTAATTAGAAATTGCTTACTTAATTTGCTTTTTTCCATTAAAAATAGATATCCCTGTTTTGTGAACTCGGTCTCTGGTTTCTGTGAATAGGAAAAATAAGGGCCAATCAATAAATCGTTCATTAAAATTGCATCATGAATTGAACTACTGACCATTTTACTATCCATGTATTTCGCTTTCAATTCTTCGGCTTTCATGCGTGTCTCGTCGAAATTTTCCCTCGTCTGCAAAATAAGCAAAAAAAATCAGTTTAGTATTCAGAATACGATTGGAAAAAGTATTTGGCAAAGAATTTGGAATCCGATAAAGTTTCAATTCAATTTTCATAACAAGAATTCAATAATAAAAAAAACGGAAAAGAATAAAAAATTAATAGAAGAATTAAATTGAAACAAAACGTGAAAATTGATTTTAAAAAAAACCAAAATTTAAAGAAATTGTTTCTTCTTAAAAATGAAATGTATTAACATCTTACAAAGAAACGACAATTCGAACAAATTTGATAATTTTACGAAAAAATTAAAGATAAATCTTTTTTTTTTATATTTTAGAAAAAAATTAAAAAAATTCCAAAACAAAAATGAAAATTGAACTGAAAAAAGAAACTTTGAAAGAAACAAATTTTTTTTTGATTTATTCGAATTCGAATATTGATTTTTAAAAAAATCCAGAAATGTTGTTTTAATCCAGAAAAAAATGCATTTCCCAACGAGTAGAGTTAGAAGGCTTACCTTTTGAACTTTGTGTTGTAAATCGGTCATGTACTCTTTAGCGTCTTCGGCGATTTCATGTCCCAAATGATAAAAGACTAACCATCCAGACATAAAACCAAGCAGCGTTTCAACGAATTCAAATTTGATGCGTTCCTGTACATCTTGTATGGCCAACACATAGCTTAGCGATTCGCGCAAATATTCGCGTTCCAACATGCCGAGACTGGCATCCGCCTACGGAGATGAAAATACAAATAAAACGGAAATGCAAAATGAAATTGAAATTGAAAAATTGCATTAGCTCAGCGTAGATAGAGAGAGAACGAAAAAAAAAAAAATCTCAATCAAATGTCTAAAAATAACTGGCTATGAAAGTGGCGTTAAAATGGAAACACAAAAACAGTCGTGAGTTTTCATTAGTAGTATTAAATGAATTTTCATTTGTAACAAAATGGCAAAATGTGAAAGTTCATCGGTGAGCTGGTTGATTCTGTGTCAGAAACCCATGTGACCCACTGCAAACTAGCAGCAAACGGTGGAAAATGTACGAAAATTGATTTTTATCATGTTTTATTATCCGCAAAGCGAGCGGGAGTGAGTGGTTTTAGCGCGCACGAACAAATTGAACTGGAAAATCTCATTAGGAAATGGTGTTATTTTTGTAAAAGAGCGATGCATGAATGCGATTTGTTGCCCTTTGTTCTACACACCGCAGCAGCAGCAGCAGCAGTGCTTTGCAATCAGGGCACATGACCTGTGTACTTAACCATTTGTGCACGTTTTCTAACATTTGAGCTTTAAATTTTTAATTGCAAACGAAAAGCCCGATTCACACAAATTGGATGCGACGCTAACACCATGTAAAATAACAAACCAGCTGATTATATGGCTCACTGCGTTCTACCACTCTAATTAATTCGTTTCGGCCGTTACAATGTCCAAGAGTAAAAGCCAGCGCGCACACGTTTGCTTATCGTACAATGCTTTTAGTATTATTACATTTAAGTGTTTTGCTGCGGCTATTTGATTTAATCAAAACGGAAAATAGTTGGAAAAACGGTTACACAATCGGTCGAATGGGAATCGCTTGCTCTCTCTCTCTCTCTCTCTCTTACACTTGTGCCCGCTCGTTCACTCGTTCATATCATCCGCTCTCCTTCGAGAGCGACACAACGAATCACACAAACCATACGAAGAAGATATATAAATTATCGCTTATTCATTTTCCATCCGACGAATGTACGTGTTTTATTTCACACGGCATTGAAAACAGCCGCAATGTTACTATTATGTGGAGAGAATCTAGTGCAAAATGTGAATGTAGTTTTAAGCAGAAAGGTCAAGGATAGCACACATTTCACTCTCTCTGTCACATTTCATACTTCCTCATTTATTTCTTCCTTTTTTCGTTTATTCTATTGCTTGCCTGCTTGATTTTGTTTGATCTCTCTGTTTCTTTCCATTTTTCTTTCGCTCCTTTTCTCTTTATCGCTTCATTCATTTCTCTTTTTCTCTTTTTCACTCTGTTTCTTCTCTTTCGCTCTCTTGCTCTATCCATCTCACTCATTCTTCCGTCCATCGTTCATTCTCCCGTATTCTCTCTCTACCTCATTCCATCGCTCAACGGTACAATTTCTCCACCGAAATCATTACATTACACACATTCACAGTTCAACCAATATGTCTTATTCACTTCATTTTCTTTTGTTGTTGTTTATGAAAAAAAAAAAAAACCATAGCAGCAGCGGCAGCAGCGGCACACACAATCGTTTTGTTTCTGCGCCAATTTCTCACACTTCTCTCGAAGTGAGAGCGCGTGGACGACGACGACAATGATGTGATTTTTTAACGGCCGTATTTTATTATTTCAATGGTAAAAACGCAACCAAGTCCATAAATTTTCCATAATTCATAAATGAACGTGCGCTCCGGCTCGTGTCACACACACACACACACACATGGTTTTCCCGCTTCGAACAAAACAAATATTGTGTGTGTTCCGTGATTGGTTTTCCATCGAATAAAACATCTTTTGGTTTTTGCTCATTGGGCCGTCGTCAACGCCGTCATCATCATCGCTCCATGCTGACAACGAAAATTATGTCTCTGTTGCCAACCAAATGTACCATGTAAACAAGATACAATTGTCCAACTGAGCAATATGCCGATAAATTGCCTCGATTCAATAAAATTCCATTTTTTTTCCCATTTCACTCAACTACCACCCTTCGACAACTCGATCAAACAAAGTTTTTGCATTATGAAATGCGCTGTAGGTAGTAAAAAAAAACTTTGCCGAATGCGGAAGCATGAGCGTCGTGGAAAAGAAATACTGTAGCTTCAATAGTGCGGTCATTCCAAGAAAAGGATTAATAGCTAATAACCAAAGGTATGTACAACTTCAATAACCATGACGATAACAATTTCGAAACAGCAACTGTCAAAACAACAAGATAATACAACTTTTGTGCATCGATACTTGAACAGATGAGAACAATAAAAAGTCGGAAATTGATGGATTTTAGGAAATTTGTTCAACAAATCGAATATTGGCAAGAAAAGCCGAACTATTTAAGGAAACATCAAAAAGACGAAGGAAAGGAAAGGAAAAAAAATTGAAAAGCAAAGAAAAGTTTGAATGTTACACACTGTTCGAACATTGTTTCTAAGTACAATGAATATTCTTCGTTGAAGAACATGTCGCCATCGCAGTATTGAATGAAAATGACGAAAGATTGACAAAAATAAAGGAGAAAATGACAAAAAATCAAGGAAAAATTGTGTAAAAGATGGAAAAAGATGAAAAAAAGTCGTACAAATGACGAAAAAAACTTAAAAAAAAAGACGTAACAGTGAGAGGCACAGGAACGTAAAGAACGAGAAAAAAATCTGGTTGAGACAAAGAAATGAAAGACACTCAAAAATACAAAATGAGAGGTCAAAATTGAAGCAAATCTCGAAAATTGAACAAAACATGAAAATGAAAAAAAATGTCGAGAATAAAAAAAGACTCGAAAAAGAGCTCGAAACTATTTAACGCATCCGCCACAAAGTCAATTACGAGAATAAAAACGGTAAAGTTTCACGGAGAAACGGCGAGAGAAAAGTACATTCAATAAAGATGATTAATCCAAAATGACCGTGAAATAATGCGAGACGAATTGGCACGATGCAGACGGATTATTCCGTAGAATAAATCATCGGAGCACCAGATGCTGTGCTAACCGTGCTGGGTTGAGATACAAACGTGTACACGGTCCTTTTGTCTATTCACATCATTTACTGCATTGTTCACAAAGTGTAGCGATTCGGTCGACGTACCGACTGAGCGACCGCACCACAAGACCTTTTCATTGTGAGTGCATTCAAATAGCAGCATGTGCATAAGTACATGTATAATTCCATTGTGTGCTACAGTCTCGCTATATATATATATATATATTGTGTAAATGGCCATTTCCCCAGCACTTCCGAGAACTGGGCATTTATTGATTCTACACTTTTATTACATCACCAAATCACAATGGTTCGAATTGATGTTTTCATAGTTCATTATGTGATTGATGATATTTTATTTGCTTTTTTTCCCATTATTCCGGGTCCCTTTGATCAACAGTCGCCCTAATCGAAGCACGTCGGCTAATACAATTCGATTTTGAATTAAATCTACGCTAATGCAGCTAAACTCACACTCACGGTTGAATGCAGTTAGAGGGCTAAAGAGCGGAGAATCGACGAGAAAAATGGATTTTTCGATGACTTTTGACTAGGGCAACAGTTGTTCGGACTGTTTGAGTTGGGAAAAAATCGAGAGAAATACGTGTATTTTCACCATTTTTCATTGTTACAAAAATGAACCCTGGGTTTTCAGTTTGAAAACCTGGGCATTCATGGAAGTCACTCAATAACAGCTTCACAAAAAATTACAGAAAAATACTCAATTTTCAACTGAAAAAAACGGGAGAAAAACCATTTCGAAGTGAAATTTCATTGTAAAAATGCCATTTCCAAGCTTCACAGCGTGAATGCATACCATTTCCATGACAATTCCATTGAAAATCAACAGAAACCAATTCTATCTAAATTAAAGTGCAGCAAAAAAAAAACAGTAATGCGTCCGAAATTAAAATTCGCCAACAAAAAAAACAGCTTCGAAATTGGTTAGTTTGAATGAATGTTTGGCGAAACCAACCCGAACACTGTCAACAGCATATCAAACTAAAAATAGAGACATTTAAATGGAGAGGTGGCCTGCAGGGGGTTGAGCGTCCTTCAAACAACCATTTGCCTGTCGTTAATTAGTTTGTTCGGTGTATATTTCCATCCTGACCTTATTTCTACGGAAATTCGTCTTTTCTTGCCATAGATCTCGTGCACAATCGCTCATTTGTTCGTTTGCCGCGGGTACACTCAGCTCATGTTTCATCTCAAATAACATTCTGCAACTGTAACCGACATTGCAATAGACCGAAATGGAAAATCTATTTATAGACAAAATCAATTCTATTTTTGCGCATTCTTATTTTTTTCTGCTCTCTCTCTCTCTCTCGGTATCAATCGAGTTCGTTTTCCACTTGACACTCGTTTCATCGACAGATTGAGATAGCGAATCGTCCTCCGTTAATGGATTTATCTTTTTCAATTGTGCATTTTCAATTTTACATTATAAAAATTGGTTTGCAGCTTCGATTCGGATGCTATTTTTGGGATCTGATTGAGACGGTTCGCGATATCGCGTAGGCGAATCGAGAATGATCGATGTATGTTTCTTTTTTTTTTGTTCCAAAATGAAGAGGGCTTGACTCAAGTACGAACACACTCTCGTTAAAAAAGAACACTTGTTAAATCTGATTTTCGATTTTGTGAAACACAAAGCAAATGGCTCGTGTATTATTAACGCGAAATGCTTTTCGTCGGTCGAGCTTTGAGAGTTTTTTTTTGTCTTTCGTTCACTCGTTTGGTCATTCGGTTGCTACTCGTTCGTTCGTTCGTTCATTGGTTTGGTCGTTTGCTAGCTCGTTTGACTCTCTCTTTCCTTCACTCGCTCTCTCACTCATTCATTCGCTATCTCGCTTATTCTTACACTCCCTCAATTGGTCGCTCACTCACTCGCTCGCCCGCTTGTCAGAACATTCGTTCTATTGCTCGCGCTCCATTTGTTTGCTTCGCATCCAGTTCGATCGCAACACAATCAATTGCATTGAATATATAATCTAAACAAATCCACTTTAATTGCTGTTCGTATCGATTGAACGCTTTCGAATCAACTTATTAACAATCTCTAGATTTATTAATAGCCGCATAGGAAAATCCGCTTTTCCAATTAGCTATTTTTCTTCTCGCGTTCTCAAAAACGCCTATTTTGACTCATGAAATATTCACTTCAAGCTTATTTCATGCGTGCGGCTCAAAGAAAATAATAATTCATGTTATATTTTGACATTGAACTTGCGACGAAGACAACAGAACGGCAACAACAACTGAATAACATGGCTTTCGTGGGCTGGATTAAAATAGCTACGTGGTTCCAGTGCCCAGCCAAAATCGTAACGCGAGATAATCATTACGCCATTCTTTCAGTTATTCGGCTATTCTTTCGATTATTCCATGGTAAATTTTCGCTATTCTTTCAATAATTCCCACGAACATTTTCGGCCCTCGATTGTTCCATGCAAAAATGCATTGAATTCGCTCTTCATTAATTTCTTTGCTTCCCTTTCGAAGTGATCGTCTGCCGTTGCAATATAATTAATTTGAGTCGATGGCAAACACAAATAGAATGCGTCAATTGCAATTTGTTTCGGATTTAAAATACCATTTATCATGGGATTCAATTTTGTTTGCGAAGGACAACCAAATCGGTAAACATTCGAAAGCCTATCTCTGAGGCTTTGTTTCCATCAAAACTCGGATAAATAAATAGGCACGTTTCATTTGTTTTTACCGTGTTTGTGTCATCGAAAATCCACTTTCGGCAGAAAATTCATTTTCGGTCGCTTTTTTTTCCTCAGTAAAAAAGGTGGTATGAATCATTTTTTCATTCAAAGGAAGTATGAATCTCGTTTCAAACTCATCAAATCCACCCTCCTGATGCGAGAAATATTCGCTGAAACAATTCCAGTTCATGCGAAAAAATATGAATGTTCGTCAACCGAAATGAATTTTTTAAGTGCTCAGAATTTGGAATTTAATATGCGCTCAAAACCTCGAATTCGTATGCGCCCCAGAATGAAATGCTAATAAAAATGAGTACCTTGAAATGGGTGGAAAAAAAATTCGAAATTAATGGAATATTGAATGCTAAACTGACAAAATCGGATTCTGTACAAAGAGAGCGACCACCCCAGCGTGCATAGCGACGATGTGTCGGTACGAGAATCTCCAGTGCCTATATATGATGAAATAAAATCCGCTTATTGCACAATTTTCACCCTATTCCCTTCCATCCACAAGCAAACAATATCAATGCACCCAGTGACGACTGCACTCACACACACACACACACACACACACACAAATGTCGAAAGGAATGCAGTAGCAGCGACGACGACGACGATTCGAATCGATTTCAAAGCCACACTCACCAATACACTGGCAAAAAAAAACAACGACGTAGACACCGAGGCAAAACAAATAAGCACACTAAAGGTTACGAAGCGAAACGAATTAAACGGTTGAAGGCGCGCGCGCGCACGTATATGTATACATGCATCCAGTTAGGTGACGACGTCATACTTGCCACTACTGCGATACATACTATTGTTCCGTACTTGTAGAGTTAGGATGTGTTGTTTTTTTTTTCTTCGGTGATACTGTGTTTATGGTTAATGATTTCATTCGTTGTTGTCGTCGTCGTCGTCGTCGTTGGTCTCGGGCATATATATGTGCGGTGCAATGTTGAAAGGGGATGATTTGCTCTTCAAAAAAGCCAACGAATCTATTATGCATGGAATGAAAGGAACATTGAATGATGTACTTTGTCAGCTCCCTCAGCCTATTTTTAGATACGTGTTTGTATGCAAAATTCATTCATTAAAATTCCCTTTTTTAACATCAGCATCACCATCAATGACTTAAAACTATATGTGGCTGGGTTCGGATTAATGAAAGAGAAAATACGCAGAAACATGAGTGAAATGGACTTTGAGAGGCACTGTGGATGTCAATGAATTTAGTATCAGTTTAGGGACACATTGTACACGATATATGCCATCTTACAGCCTCGCTCGCTACTTCTCTTTCTCTCTCTCTCTCTCTCTCTCTCTCTCTCCATCTCTATTTTTAGCAGCGGCTTTTGTTCACTTCCCGTCGAAGTGGGCGATTATCTTCCGAATTACCATTCAACATCGGATTATTTTTGACATAATGAAACCAAATATGCACTACTTTCTCGACTTTTCGAGTCAAGTTCCTGGTTTTGTTTGGCTTTCTTACGCAATTTTTCGTTTCCTTTCCTCCTCCATCTTCTTCTTCTTCATTTGTTTCAATTTCTTCTATGCTATTTTGCTTCTATTTTCGTTCTTTTTCATTCTTTTTCGTTCTTTTTTCTTCCATTTCATCCTCCACTCTTTCTCATTTTACTCATTCCTCTTCTACTCCCCAAAAATAGACTTTATTCCGTCACAAACACCCAACACTTGAGCTAACGATGACGAAATCGCGTGAAAAACAACCTGTCCATTGGCCAGCCGACGACATTTTTTCTACTTTTTTTTTGCATTCATCGGTGTGGAGCTATGGAAAAAAATCAATACAACGCTTCAAATAGAAATGACAATTATGGTTGGTATCCGTCGATAAAATGCCGCTAACTCACGCAATTTGATTCACATTTCGATTGCCTTTGTTTCGCGCTATTACCGTTGCCACAGCAATTAAAAGCGACACAATCGCACCCATTCATTCATAAGCCATACAATAACAAACTTCTTCGAAAACTATGCGCGCTCTTCCACTACAAACTACTAGACTGGAATTTTTCAATGGTTTCTGTTAACCCTCTAATGCATTAATTTTTCCCAGGGCTGGGAGTACTGGTACTTGGTTGATTTTTGGCCATAAATAATTTTAAAAAAAATATTCATAATCCTGGATTCCTCTTGGTTCAGTCAGGAAATGCGATTGACATAAATCAGAGAACAATAAAATCCATTGTTTAAAAGTGTCAAAAATGTGTCTAATTTCGAGTTCGAATAATTTATTTTGTCGAATTTTTGTTTTTGCACACATTCTTGCTTATAACTTTATAATCACACTACATAGACAATTATTGCCAAAGACAAAAATAAAGAGAAATCATTGACGAATTAAAAAATTTACTTTGAAGCAATTTGATCCGATGTACGGTTTACGTTCTACAGGCGTTCAAATGTTGCCCGTCTAGAGGCGGTTGTATGCATTAGAGGGTTAAAAAAAAAAAAACAAAAAAAACTTTTCACCGCATTAAATTGCACATAAATTATTCAAAAATTCCGATTCGGTTTCATCGGTTTCGATGTATCAAAACCGAAGACACCTTACCTTTCTGCAGTCATTTTTTTCCTGTTCTATCGATTGTTTCTTGTCCACTTCCGTGCTTGTAAAATTCTTTTTGTCGTCTTCGTTTATTTGGCCAATCTGGGTATTCACTTGATTTTGAGCCTATTCACTTTTATGCCTATCGAAGCAATTTCTTTGTCACTTTTTATCTGTAGGACGTTTTTTTTTGACGTTCTTTTAATTTCGTTTCCTTTTCGTTTTTTTTTTCAATTCAACACATTCAGGCCTTGAAACATTCTCACCATAAAAACCATCACTTCATATCAAATTGAATTCCGTTTTTGCACTTCTTTCCTAATGTTTTTTTTTTTGCATAAAACTTTAGTTTTTTTTTTTCTTCTTTCGCTACTCGACCGAAAACACAAATGTCTGATTACACAGAGTGTATGTATCGCGCGCGCTCCGTTCACGTTCACAAATGGCTCTCAGCACTCTGAAACTGATTTCCATTCAGGTTCGATAATCACATTCTCGTTGCCTGTTTTTTCCATGCACACAGCCAGTCAGTCAGTCGCACTCTCGCATCAATACCTAGTTAGGATTGTGTGTATACGGTCCCCAATATCATACACAAACACACATTTCAAGCAACACACGGCTGATGTAACCAGCACTCTAAACTAAAGTGTGAATGACGTTGTACAGATCAAATCGATGTAAGTATTTCGTAATTCCACGCACTCACACAATCATAAAACGGTTCGCTTGTTGTTGTTTTTTTTTCTCGCTTTCAACAGAAACATTGCCTATCGCGATACTATTGTATTGGCGTATACAGGATATTTGTAGTGAAATCGCAGCAGGAGAAATGATGAAAGAAACCATTTAGTATGTGGAAAATTCATATGGACAACCAGGGTGTCACAGCAACTGCACGAAACAACGAACTGCACGAAATTCAGCTAGGGGAAAGACTTTTTCGAGGTTTTGACGGGATTTGGAGATTACTGAGAGAATTTTTAGGGGATTTATGGCTTCGAGATATTGAGAGTTTCGGTTTTTTTTAAAAGTAAAATTCACGTTTTTTTCATCAAGGAGCTGTGTTAACTGGAATATGATTTTGAAGTGAGAACGCATCTCATTTCATCTCATTACCAGGTCTGCTCCAGTTTTAAATTCAAACTTTGAATGAGTCCAAACTAATTTGAATGAAATTCGTTCAATGAATCTAAGTTTCAAGTTCATCTAAATGAGCTCAAACTTGGCGGAAAATTTAAAAAAAAAAATCAACAAGTTGACCTTGAAACATCAAACCAGCGCTGTTTTCTTCGAAAAAGTCTCATCTTTGCTTTAATTTACTCGAATAAGATCTGTGTTCAATTAAGTTAATTCCAACAGTTTCAATATGGTTTAAATCAACCCAATACGTGCGCTTGCTTTGGTCATAAATTCGAGCCCCTTCAAAAAAACTCACCGAAAATCTCTGTATACTGACTTATACTACGTTATATCAATGAAGTTGTATCTATCAAGGATATCGGAGGAGAAATGTATTCCAAAAAGCACCAATACACACATTCACATCTTGAGCATGCGCTTCTCGTCTCGCACATTTGATGACTTGGTGATAAGACATTGAAATGCGAGTAAAAATGTGCAAACAAAACAAAATCCAACGATATACACGCCGTCGAGAACAGAAAAACAAAATAGCTTGACAGCATGATATCTGAGTAGTTAAGAGGCATCGTTTGATTCGGTTGTTGTGTTTGTCATATGGCAACAGCATGGTGACAAAATGTACACACACACACACACACACAAGTTGTTGTTGTTGTTTCTGGCTTTTTTCTCGCAAAAAACATCCAATTAAATAGCCGTCGGACGATAATTTAACACACTTTCAACGTCTTTTAACGTTTTTGGGTGAAACGAAGACATAGCCATACCACGGCAAAAGATTATAGTTTGTCAATCGTCCCACGCAATTACGGAAGCTCTCTGTTCAGCTGATTTGCGCTTCGTTGAAAATATTGTGTTTTAGTTGTTTACATGTTGCCCAAAAAATAATTGATTGACCTTCAAATTATCGAAGAATTGGCTATTTGCGTTTTTTGTTTCTCTTTCCTTCGGTTGCGAGACATACAGTTGTTAGGCGCACGCTGTGTTTATACGGCCAATTTCGTATGCAGTGTAGTCGAATTGCTGTCGAAGCCAGCTGTTTTAATGACGGTAGTTTGTTTCTTTCTCTTTTTCTCGCAATAGTGTAAGTGGGTGGTGTAATGGAGATTTGATGCTTGCAGACGGCAAAAGATCAAAATCCAAATTTCAGGCCAAAAGCTGCATGACATTTAATTGACCATTTGAGGGATGAACGATGTCAGGTTTTTTTCCCCCATCCACTTGATGGAAGAGCACTTTCGTGTTTGGGCTATATTTAAACCAAAGAGTGGTCGTTTGTCACTGACACAAATCAACAGATCTACTGGTTTTAGTGGTGTGCACGATTAAGGTGCTCGACCAATTCGAGTGGGAACCCATTTCCGTCGACGTGTATTAACGCACCGGTATGTGAAAGAGAAGTGCAGCTATTTTTAGCCACAAATTTGAACGCTTCACAAAGCTACTCGTCCGAACGTGAAAATGAAGCTCGTATTTTTCCCCGAAGAAGTGGTAAGAGTGACGTTGGTTTTTCGTTCTGAAGATGGTTAGAGGTAAAAGTGGTAAGAGTGGTAAGAGTGGCAGTAAAACTCACTTCGAATCGAGGTGAAAAAAGGAATCTCACTCTTCGCACTTCTCATTCCAAAAATGAAGGAAAATTGATGCGAAAAAACGAATGACATCCATTGGAATCATAAATTCATCACACAAAAGGGGTTTCTACGTTGAATTAATCAAATTTCAAAAAACGAGGGCAAAAGCGAGAGATAAAATTAAATCATGAAAAGAAATGTGAGAAGCGCAATTGAGTAGAAGAAATAGTCACCAGCAACAAGCACACACACCAAATTTCGATGTCATTTCAAAGAAAAAAATTTTTTTTCTTCATAATGACTTTTGCTATTATGCGCTGTCGTGGGCGGCAACATTCACTTCGAAGAAAGTTTCGTGCTAACTTTGTCAAAGCAATAAATTGTTCTATCGATAACACTTGGTATTTTTGTGATTAAATTTTTCAAACACTGACCAAAAATAACGTAAAGAAAAGAAAAACGGTATGCTTTGAAGTCGTCATGGCTACTGATATGGCATATGACTGCTGTGATATCTTGTACAATCTTCCGTTTTATTTCTGTGGATCTTTTTTTTTTATATGTCTTCCAAGTCTGATGTGCAGCCAGTCTCTGTCTCTTTTCGTTCGAATCAAATATTTATAAATGTGATGTGATGGTGTGTCGGTTGCCATGAAAGCTACGGGGTTGTTATTCGGTGAATTGGTGTTTTAAGGCCATTTATGCTATCACATTTCACGGTTAAAACCAATGGACTGGCTTTACTCAAATTATCTCTCTCAGCGACGCGCTCGTAAATGTACTCGATTTGTGTACTGAATGTGACAGCTGAAAATGCCGGCAATTCCCATGTGGTCGGTCTGTTGTCAAGCCTTAAGTACACCAAACGCATAAATCGACCGTGAAAAATTGAAAGAGTTGCCGGCCAACAACCCACAAAAACCGAGAAAAAAATCACAAAACCGAGAGAGAGAGAAACAAAAACACCCCACAAGGTCTGGTTCGCCTTTGGTAGTGACAAAACTCAACTTTACGGCGACTGCCTACCCTTTACCACTTTGGAAGTTTTTGAGAAAGTATTAAATTAGCTTCGATTGAAACATTTTATTTGCAAGCCCTTTGAATGGCATTTACGTACATGCGATTGAATGACGAAACCAACGTCTTTTTTACTAATTTTTTCATCGATACGTCAAGTTGGATAAAAAGACAGCCCTAGGCTGCTGCTGCCGCACCACACACACACACATCGCTGATTTATTAGATTGCTGAACTTTTCGGTTTCGACTCTGCTAAAAATAGATTGCCACAGATACGAGAATGGCATGCAGTTATTTCGCTCTCTATTGCCAATGTTTTATTTACAGCTTGTTTTGGTGTTAGTTTTTCTGTATCGTCACTTTCTCGCTCGATTTGGTACGAATACGCAATGGGAGTTGACGGAATGCTCAATGACGTCAGCACGAACATTGACTTCCGATGTCTTCGATTCGAACGGCCATAAAAATACGAAAATTACCAAAGCAATGAAACATATTTATTGACTCGTAAATGGGAGATAATTTTAGCACACCAACTTTCGAATCAGTGTATTAGTCGCGTTAAATGCAATTTGCAGATAGTGAGTCATTTTTGTTTGTGCAGTTTTTATGACCTTTTAATTGCTTTTGTGTGTTTCAAGCACTACGTGTAGGGCTATTGTTTTAAATTCATTTAATTTCTGCCATTTTTTTTTTGTTGAACTCATTCATATAATTTGTGTTTTTTTTGCTCCATTCATTGCTTCAGTTTGTCTTAGAGCCATTTTTAATTAATCTAAGGGCATTGATGAACACGATTATACTTACCTCTTGAATTGTGTTATCTGGTTTCTTTGATGACATATTCAAGAATCGCTCTTGAGCCTGACAGAATTTTCCCGTTTTCTTGTCGAACTTCTTTTTGTGCTCCTTCACACCGCCAATTCGATCCTTTCGGAAATTCTCCAACGGTACCACGATTTGATCGTGCGCTTGTGCCAACTGAAATTCAATTTAATGTTGGTTTATTTTTTTTTTTTTATTCTGATACAAAATACGTAAATCTATGTTTTCGCTTGAAAAAAAAAATGAAATCAAATTCGAGATGGAGTCAAATTAACCCGGTCAATTTATGTGATTAGAGAAATTATACATTATAAATTGTAGATTGAATGGAATTTAGAAAAAAAAGGAAAAAATGGATGAATAACATTTTGAGGGAAAAAAATCTAATTAAAGCCAAATTGAGTTATTATTCGCAACTTTCTTCGGATATATAGAAATTAACTAGGTAAGGTAGTTGATAAACTTGTAATTTACGGTCGTTGAAATTGAAAATGAAACGACTGAATGGAGACGAATATAAAAACGAATCAATATATCCTAATCACTGGAAAGCGTCTGACCGATGGAGTAATAAGAAATTGTGGGATTTTTTTAATCTATTTTTTTGTTCACTTCTTTTTGCGCTTTCCAATTGTGTTTCCAAGTTTTCGAAATTTGAATATGGAAACGAAATAGATTTTATAACACATTTTGCTGCATTTGTCTTCAATAAAAAGATAGATTTAAATAAAGACATAGCCTGGCTTCAGGCCGCCACTATTGTGGCGCTCGTTGCGGTAGCCTCGGTAAGTAGCTTCGTTGCCAATGGTTGTCAACAACCCTATCGGGAGACTGGCACATTCGAAATTGTGCCATTTTCAACATAGCCAATTGAGCGAGAACAAGAGGTATAACATACAATAACATAGAATCAGCGCATTGGACGAGCTAAATATTTGGTTCAAGAAATGCGGATAAATGAAACATGCAAAATGAATGCCGTATGATTGAACATTTATTTTGTTTAAAAAAAAAAAAATTGTGTTTTTTTAATAATAAAATCAAATAAAATGAAAATGTGCATGTTACACCAACACAAAATCAAAAAAGATGAGGTTATGTTTGAAATGACTCGTCATGATACACACAATGGCACATTTGAGAATGTGCCACACTCTCGATAGGGATCATACAAATGTCAAACGTAGTCAGCTTGTCAATTTCAACCGGGGCCTGAATAAAGATACATCTTTCATAGTAAAGATAAGAATCTCAATGTGAATCAGTTGATTTTTGGTCATATGGATTTTATTTGGTTTTCTACAGCTTCCATTAAAAGTCTGCATTAAACATAGCTATTTTCAGTTGTTGCCAGTTGATTTGGCATCTGATAGCCAAAAATTACGTCTTCTTTTAAAGAAATGGTAAGATTTTTGGTACAAAAAAGAAATGAATTCAAGCGATTTTTACCGTTTTTATGAAATAAAAATTCAACATTTTTATGCAATAGACGAATTCGTTCATTAACTTACAAAGCACATTGAGATTGCTCGTTTATAAACGTTTAATAACATAACTTTGTAGAATAGAGTTAGTTCTGTTTGGATTTTTTTCTTTATTTATTTTTTCTTTATTGAAGAAATTTACTGTCAAATCCATTCTTCAATAAAGCAATCAAACGGAAATCAGATGAAATAAACAAGATGGGAAGTTTAAGTGTCGATGGAATGAATTTTTATGATTAAAATATCGTAAACTGGATCAAATAGAAACGAAATGATAAACGAAAATACCGTTTTCCGATATATTTTCCCCTGATTTTATCAACAGATTCAGAATAAGTTATTGTTGGATGGTTGTAAATTCGAATTCTCCACACTTATGACAACTAAGAAATAGTGATAAAGAACCTCTTTATCAAGATTTAAGATTAAGTTTGAAAAATGTAACCAATAAAACACAACATTTTTCGATTCAAGTCAACGAAAAGCAATGAACCTACCATATTATCTCGTTCATCTTCGATGTTAGCAATCAATTTACTAAACTGTTTAAGACTATCAACAATCACTTGTTCATCATCGGTCTGCGTGGATCCGATGCACTCAAAGTTAAATTCGGCCAAACTCTTTGATAACTGTCGCTGCGCTCGTGACAAACCTAAAAATGGAACGAAAAATATCGTTGGTTAGTTTATGGATGTATATGGTTTTTGAATGGAGAAATATAGAATGTAATTAGATTTTCTATATTTAAATTGATTTATTGTAAAGTTAACAATCATTTTCTGAAGATTTTCCCTTTTTAATCAAGTTTTTCGTTGTTCAATAACTTGAAAATTATTATCGCCAATCTTCAAATTTTTTGGCTAAACCTTCTTCCATTATGAATAGAGGAAAGGATGAAGATAATAACCAAGATTAATTTAAAGATTATTCGACACAAAAATCGACAAAACGTAAAAAAACGTCAAAACAAGTGCGCAGCTCAGCAATCTCAATATGCTGTTCATCAACTGTACATCATCTTTCAGTCGAGCCCATTTTCAATCATCAATTGCATAACTCAAATGATTTAATCATTTTAAATTGAATCGATTGATTTCTGTTCATTCGTTTAAAAAAGAAATGGGGTCGGTCTTTGGCCGCTATATATGACATATGTATTGAGTCAATCTGATGGTTCTGAAGCTGAAAAGTCAATTAGAAAAATCTGTTTAATTGAAATGGAAAATGGATTCGCACATGACGTCGTTCACATAAACACATGTGTTCCCTTCGGGTGCGATGTTGGCTGTCAAGGAAAAAAACAAACACGAAGCGATGTTCATGCTGTGAGCGAAGCATAGACCACAACAATTCCCATCGAAAATAGATGCGAAAAGGTCTTCAAAAGCAATAAAAAAAATATCGATGAAGCAAAAAAAAAACGGTATTTAGATTGTAGTTCAAAAATAGAAGAGCGCTAATCGTGTGTATTTCGAGTAAATTCATTGGTGCGATATGGGTGTAAATGGTTTGTTTGTGCAAAGTGATGACGACAGAAAAAGAAGAAGAAGAAGAAAAACAACATCGAATTATAATTGATGCGGTGCGGACTTATGCGTCGACTCATTCACGCAACCAGTCAATCGACTGTGTGGCGAACAAAGACCAACATAGACTAAGCGAACGAACAAAAAAAAAAAACATCTGGTTTATCAATTTTATTATTAAACTCTTGTTTACGCAACAAACCAAGCGGCTGCTTTACAAGACACCGAACCGAAACGCGTATATGCCCTATCTGATTCGGCTACTGTTTTGCCGATTAAAATATTTTGATTGTTTCGATGTTATTTATCGAAACTTAATTGAATCGTCATTTTTGCTGGACTCCTCGCTTCATTCTCGTCGCGTCAACAATGTTGGCCCAACATTAAACGCACGTGTATCGCAATGCCAGCTGAGTATCTACGATTAAAATGCGTTTTGCATCGGCTGCTTTCAATTTTATGAGCTCATTTATCGAGACAGAGATGCTAAATTAAAGACAGACGTGTTGTTTACGCTGAGATTTTGTTTTCGGTTTTTTACTAAGGAAATTCCAAACTAATGGAACGCTATTCGAAGAACAACCGCATCCGTTTTGAATGAGCTTATCGTTGCGAATGAAGTAGAATGAATGATTAGTGATAAATCTTTTGGAATTCTTGGATTTAGTGGAAGAAATTGAGAGTTTGGATGTTGAGAAATCGATTAAAAGGTCACTTTTTCGCATGAAAATCTCGATTTAAACAAGAAAATTTTATTTTGAACACGAAAATCACACTATCACACAATGGATCTAACATGAAAATTGACAAATTTACATGAAATTCTTAGAGTTTGAACTAAATTTGGAATATTTCACGCGAATTTCGTTACGTTTGGATGGAAAAGTAGTAATTTTTGCGAAAACTTTGATGAATTTGGTTGAAAACACTTGTAATTTAAGCTGAAAAAGTGCAAAATACTTAAAGATTAAGCTAAGAGCCAAGATTTTTGAAGAATCTTTAGTATTATCTCGAAAAATTTCGAAGGAATCCAATTGAAATTAGCTCGTAAGTATCGAGTTTATCAAGATATAGTATTGGATTAGCCCAAAAAAATTAAAATAAAGTGCTTTTATGCAAGCTGAATGATTCAACTCGAATATTACTTCAACTATTTCGTCGAATTTCGTTATAAATCGAGATTTTAATCCAATTTCTCGTTAATTCGGCAATCAGCTTAATTCATTTTATTTCCGTTAAAATGCAGCTATAGTTTGGCTTTAATTCTGCTTCAGTACTGAGTTCATCATATGAATTGAATTTGGCCTTATTTTTTCCTTTTAAATCGAATTTCGTTCGAATTTCATTATATTTAAAATCAAATTAGCGAAACTAGATCCTGGAAATATCCAGTTGCTGACGCAAAAAAGTGAACATTCACAATTTGATAAAAAAAAATAGAAAAAGTTTCAATTAAAGCCTTGACTCATCCTGTTTATTTTATGAACCTGATGTGTCACTGTGACATTGTCATCCAGAAAAAA